CCAAACTGCTCACATCTGCCGAGTGGTCAACCAGCAGCCAGCGCGAGCCTCAAGATAACTGCTCCTTCTTCTGTTCCCACTCCAGGCCCTTCACTCAATCTCAGATCAAAGACGCTGAAGCCCTTGCTTACACAGAGCTGGTCTGGTGTGGTATCGCTCGAGCTCTTCTCACCTAAAACAGTTGGGAGTTGTTCCACGCTCTCTGATGTCCGGGAGTGTTTGTGTCCCTGTGGGTGATGCCCGCCTCCACCAATAATCCAGATCTGACCCCTTGTGGCAACAGCCCCATCACAAGGAATTCTGGCTCATTTTCCCTTCGTAAAACCACAGCTGTGGTGCCTTCACAAGCCCCTGACGTTTTCATTAAAGGAATAAATCATGGTGATTTTATGGGGCAGGAAAGAACGCTGCTCCCTGCCAGCATCACTGACGGCCCTGCTGTCTCTTCATTGATGCGAAGCCCAATCTTACTCTGAAAGCTACTGATAAGTTTATTTAAAGTGGGCAGGGACCACATTCTGTGTGCAAGAATTTTTCCTTTCTTTTCTTTTTTTAAACAGCAGCAGCAGGAATTCGCACAGGATGTTTGTGAAGTTTGGGAAAATAGGTCCACTGGGCGTCTTGTTCTTCTCTGCCCGGTTGTTTATTGGGCCTAACGGCTTAGCTCAGACACAGCGAGTGCCGGGCACCTGACACCCCTTATCTCAGACCCTTGAACGCCCCTACCAGGCCAAGCATAACTGGGGAGCAGGGGTTTACAACGACTTGCCCCAAAGGCAAGGATAATCCAGAACCAATCTGTGCTTGAAACGTACACCTCTCTGGTGCCCAGCGACTCCCCTTCCGCTGCCTCCTGCAGCACCTTGCTGTCAGATTGTAACACAGAGCAGTCTGACCTCAGAGGAGCCTTGTTTGTGAAGATATGCCTTTTGTCACGAGAAAAGTCTCTGCACAGATTGAGTTTATACACTATGTTGAAATTGAAAACGTCTAAATTTACAACATCACAAAAAGTGTCCTGTGGAAGATTAGAAAGAAAGGGGAAAGATACACTTAAATACAGACTTAAAACCAAAAAACAAAAAGTATATCTGATGTATCAAAGTCCTGACCAACAGGTCTTGAATCCCCAAGGACTCAAGGTGGTGTTTCTCAACCTTTTTTTCATTATTGCCTCCCTTTCCCAAGTTTAAATATATATATATATTTTTTTCTCTAATCCCTCTCAACCACAAAATTTTAATAACAGATATATCTTATATCTGTTTATGTACTATGGATCTTTGTTGGACCACAAACCGATGTATTATCTAAAATTATGTCACCTCCAAAGCCAGTTTTTACTGCCTCTGTGGGAACGCATGCCTAACAGATGTACAATCAAAGAGCTGACAATGTTGGCCTCAGATAATCTTATGGTCAAGCTGACACACACAAAAAATGAGCAAGAGTTCACAGAAACCATGGAAACTCTTTCTAAATCGTCAAAACAAAAAAACCCCAGCAAATCACCTCCTAGCTGTATTTAAGAAAAAGTGGATTCGTTTGAGAAGGGCAATGAGTGGACCATATTTTCTATGCACTTGAGTGGTTTTTATCATAAAAATAGAACTTTTGGAACTGAAGTATACTTTAAAATAGCCTCTAGTCCAGCCAACTGCCTTCAGACGAAAAGATAGTATTGGCCTAACATTTTAAATTGATGAGGCAGCTAAGCAGGGGATATTGTTATTTGCTTATGTGCCACAGATTTAAACACTAACTCTAATAAAAAAATTTCTCAAAAGACTTTCTTGCTTTCTCTTTGGCATAAACACAAACATTGCCAGGGCAGATAGAAGGCTTTCTTTCTTTTGATCTCCCTTCCTATGGACAGGGAATGTTTCTTCAGTATTCTTTCTTACACTCCATAGATAATAAAATATTTTGTATATACTGTGCTGTAAAGCTTCCTGTTTCAAGGGCCTAAGATTTTAAATATCTGTTGTGAGTCTAGACGACGCATCACACGTCTGGATGCCAAACCCTCCAAGCATAGCTCTCCACCCTGCTGCCCCACTTCTTGTTCAACACCCACAAAACCAAAGCAAATACAGGAACTTGTACATAGTAGGTGCTCAGTAAATATTTGCCTACTAAGCTGGGTACACACCTTTTTTGGTTAAAAGTGATAATAATAGTGACCAGCTTGGTTGAAGAGGACTAAAACTTATGAGATGTGAAGGCCAGATTACTACTTAAAGTTTTCTACTAAATGTAATATAGACATTTTTGAAATCATTTTGGCTTTCAATTTAGAGAGCTGGCAGAAGTCCAATGCCTTGTGGCATTTGAACAATAAATGTTTAATAAATACTTGGTCACTAGTTTATTTCCCACAGATTTCCAAAGCTGGTTTAAATTAGGTGGTTCATGGATGATAACAGTCTAATATTTACCTTTTCATGTGCATTTTATGAAAAGCATTTCAACTCTTAATTGAAAACAGTAAGTTATAAAGGAGTTCCCTCTTATTTCATTCTTTCCATAAGTCTCAGAGGGAGGGATGCTTCCTCTCTGGTAATTTGCTTCCCTGTTAGCCCCTGCTCCCTGGCACCTTCAATCGTTTCTATTCTAGTGGCTTCTTCCCCTCAAGCTTCATTCAGTCTCAGGTGTCCCATCTTAAAAAATTATCTACATTTGCTCTGTGCTCACTCTCTTCTTGGTAAAGAGTGGTCTAAGCCACTACCTCCGTTCTCCACATAGCTGCCTTCATTCGTTTGAACCTCTCTAGCCGATCATCTGGATTCCACTCTCTTCTCTCACTGGAAGCATCTTAGAGCATCCTCAGTGGCATTTCACTCAACTCATGCAAGAGTGTTTCCAGTTTCCATGCCCCACGATGACTGTGATGGATTTCATGCTGTCAGTCTCACACCTGTTAGAACTCCGCTCATCTCCTAAATACCCACTGAATAAAATAAAGGACAAATTCTTCACACTGACTTCAAGACCTGATGAATGTAAATATACTCCGCCCAAGAAGTAGAGTTTGAAACCTAATTCACAGCCTGCAGTTCCTTGTGTGGCGGTGCTGGCCAGTACCCTTGGGCAGGGGGGAGATGGCCCTCGTCAGTAGAAAGCCCTGTATTCTGAGACCCAGAAAGAAAGAAGAGAGGTTACTCTTGTCTTGTGCCGGGCTATTTGCTACTGAGCTGTCCCTTTGCTGTTGCAGGATGAAGTTTTCTGTCTCTCCTCACCCTCTGATTTCCTACAGACCTTCACTGAGGTAGAAGCTTGGTTAGAGTAATAACTCGTGAAAGCTTTACCAAAGCATTGGTCCAAATCAGCAAGACCAAGTTCGTTTGCCTTGCAGAGGCTCTCCCTAAACTCTGCGAGCCTTAAGCTGACTCTCATGGATACTATTTCCCCATCGTCGTAGGAGCTGCCAAATGAAGCTAGGCCGAGTGCACACGGTAAGGGAAATTAGAAGGCAGCATTTTCCAGACACCCACCCTAGTCTGACTCTGTATGAACCAAAATGAAATTTAATAGGAAAATCACCCTCTGAATCAGTACTTCTCAACTGCAGATGATTGCTCCCTGTCTCGGGTTATTTTGGGTTGTCAGGTACGAGGCTGAGGGAATGTTACTGGCATCTAGTGGGCAGAGGCCTGGGCTGTTGCTGAACTTCCTACAACGCACAACGCAGCCCTGCACAGCAGAGAATTATCTTGTTGAAATGTCAATAGTGCCAAGGCTGAGCCTTATGCTCTGTACTCTCCATGTGTTCAAATGAGAATCCTTTCTTTCTAGAATAGGCTATGTCCACAGGCTCTTTCCAGACTCATGATGCATAACTGAGGGATTTTATTACAAATGAAGTAGCAGACCCACAGTCTAAGTAGCTTAGTCATATTTCTGTATTGAAATGTGAATGCAGGCCCTGCCCGCCTGCCTGCAGAGCCGACGCTCTTTTGCATATCACCTGCCCCGAGCAGCTCGGCGGCAGACATTCAGTTGTGAGTGACTAAGGGTGAAATCACTCCGGCCATGCAAAAGCCAGCTAGACAAAGTGCAGGAACAGAGAACAAAACCATCTCCCCCTGTGAAAGCTGTAATGGAATTAGAGTGGGTGGGAATAAAGCTAGGAGCTGTCTGAAGTGTGGGCCAGCGCATACTCTGGATATGAGGACAGAGCCTGGTTACAGGAAAATACTAAAACAAGGTCAGCTGGGCTGCTCAAGGGCAGCCACACCAAAGTTTGCTCCAAGATAAAGCAAAGGCAGGCAGAAGCTCTTGTGAAGTGATAATCCCAGTCAGGCCCTTGAATGGCCTCATTTGTTCCAGCCCCTGGGCCTTTAGGCACCCTGCTGTCCCGTCCCCCACAGGGACTTCCACCCCAAGCAACTTCCCCCTTCCCCTCTTCCGTCCCTAATGCTCCTTCTCAGAGCAGCTGCTCAAGACACAGCCCTTGAATTTTGAACTTTTTGGCTAGTAAGATACTGCTTTTGGTTCATACTGTTATTTTTCACAATACATTACATCTCCATCAGACTCAGACTGGAAAATGTTGTTTTCTATAATTGTGGAGTTCCTGCTTTAAAAAATATTAGCTATTTCTGTAGTCTATACCCTATCCCATTGTATTTTAGAAAAGACGCATCTAAAGTCGAGATGGAGAAAATTATCCATCCAGTTTAATGCAGAGCCAAGAAGAATATGGTTCTTCTCACTCTTTCTCTTGGTATTATATTTATTTTCTTGAATGGAATACACACACACACACACACACATATAAATATGCAGTAGAAAATGAAAACAGGGTATACATGAAAATATAAATTATTTTCCCACCCTGACTCACTAGGTTTCCACTCTAGGACCTACACACCCACAACCTCTGTTACCAGTTTCCTGTGCAACCTTCCAGAAAGTCTCTGCATTTATAGATGTAAACCTATGTATGAGCATCACCTCTTGACCTGCAGGCTGCTGCTTTTCCCATTCCTCCTGGTGACAACTGTGGCTTCTATTGCTCAAGACGAGCCATGACAAAACAGATGACACATTTATGCTGCTGAAGGAAAACTCGGTGACTCAGACACAGATTGTTCCGTGCTCCTTTCATCCTCACTACCAGGTAGCTTTGCCAAGGTCAAGTGGTGACATTCTGATTTACCACCAAGCAGGCTGGATACAACGCACATTTGACGAGAATCTGAAATTCAAATACCAAAAAGAAAAAAAAAATATTTTCTTAAGGCCTCCGGTTTTGTAATTGAACTTGCTTTTTTGCTTTGTTGAAAATAGTGTTTTCCTTTTAGTTCAATGAACACTGTCTTATCTGAAAGAATAAAAGCAGGACTCCTTCCCAAATCCCTAATTAATCACCAAACCTTTAAATTTAAGATCCAGTTTTATCGCACTCCTGAAATCTCCATTTAGCATCTCAGAGAACAGGGGCCCAGGGGCCTCACTGTTTTGACTAGCCAGACAACAGCGAGCCCAATCCCGGCTTCAGGTAGGAAATGCAAATTTGGCTAACTGGCTTTGCCATTTACAAGAACCTGTATTCGAATAAGTCAGGGATACATTTCTCTTGGCTTTAGAAAACCTTTTAAATAGTGACTTCAGCCCTCCTAAGGTTTTTGTCCGGGTTGCCTGAAAGTGGACAATTTTCACAAGTTTGCTTTGGCACCCATGGCATGAATTTTTATTGAAAGTCACAGTTGTTTTAGTGGGCACCACTGTCTGCCAGCAGATCTCTGTAGAGGCCTCCCAGCCAATTTCATGAGAACTATGTGCACCTAAAACATGCCAAGCGTTGTAAGGCGTGACCTGTCCTCCAACTCTTTGCTCCCCTGAGCACGACCACGACTCATTTGCACTTCTGATCGAAGGACACGCTATTGAGTGTTTCTGCAGCATTTCTGCAATCAGAAAGCCATTTTTACATTGAAGACTCCTCTGCTTCTTCACTGCAAATATTCCCTTTCCTCTAGGGTGACACCCAATTTATTCTAGCATGTCAAATGGGCAAAGCAATTCAAGAGACATGGGTTCATTGGGAACATACATTCTCCACGTAATTAAACAAAATAAAGATTTGGTTGGGAAGAGATGGGAATGTAGCCTAAAACCAGATCTCAAAATGCCCCTTAAATAACCTGTGGGAAAGATCGCTCATTTAGGAGGTTTCAAATAAATGTGCAGAGGTATTGTGAGACAAAAAAAAAAAAAAGAAAAAGAAAAAAGACATCTGTTATGAAAATGGAGAAAATAAAATGGAGTAAGCATTGCTAACAGAGTCACTTAAAACACTGAGGAGGCCATTGAGTAAGTGAGGCCTATGCATGTCTCCTGTCCCACTTTAGAGAACTGTTAAGTTGCTGACCTGTTGCTAAATTAAGCTCAAGGTGGAAAAACAAACATTCTGGATCCATGATGCTACATGGACATATGTGGACTTGATTTCCTACTCATCATGATGACAAGGAACCAATTTTGAAAACCAGCTCCCTCTACTTACATAATAGATCTAACCAATCCCAACTGACCTAGCCAACACCCTTCATTGACATGGAAGACTTAAATGAGAACAATTCCTTTGGTTTTGCCCTTTATAAACCCTGCCTTTCTTTGTTCCCTTTGCAAAACAATTTAGGTTGCCACCTCAATTCTGTGCCCCGGGCTGTAATCGCTCCTTTGCTCAAATAAACTTTTTTATTCTTTATTATAGCCTAAAACTTTTTTGTTGCTGTTAAGTTATTTTTATGTTTCCACACATAAATCATTACATAATCACCAGGATTATTGGCTTAAATTCAAGTTTACAAGTTCTTTGCCCTAAGACTGAGATGTCCCCACATTTTTCCTTCATTTTATTATTTTTTTCTATATGCGATTTGTCACTGTTACTTTGTGTGATGGGCAAGCTCATTAGAATTTTACTTTATTAAACACTTAAGACTTAGCTTATCAATGGCTTAACTTTGAAACGACACAATTCTCATTTTAAAAGTCAGGCTAAAATCTCCCAAAGCCAATTATTTCATATTTATAAACAACCTTCTTAGTAAATTTTCACTAAAGCTAGGAAACTAATGCATAGCAGAAAAAACAGATGTACATAAAATAGATTTTATTGGCTGCTCTAGTGAAAAAAATGTTCATACTAACTGAAAAGAAACCTGTTATTTTACAATTTTCACCTTCCCTTCAATTATACTAGCTTTAATGTTTTTCCTTTGACTTTCCCTGGGTTAGACAGCACTCTTAAACCTCAAGATTGTAAAAACAAGAAACCTTTCCAAAATCACACGGGTAAAGTTTCAACCTGCTGTTAAAAATATCACTGATGGGGCCAGTGCTTCATTCCCTGGGCGGGTTTCATAGGCTACATGAACTTAGAGCCACCGTGGGGAACACTGAACTGCAGGGAGCATGGTGTTCTGCCCCATTCTGTCTCCGGAGAAATATCGTGGCAGATCCTGGGAGCTGTCCCACCAAAAGCCATTCTCTACCTCATTTGCCCTTTCCCGTTTCCCACTAAAGAGCCTAAAAAAGAAGAATATTAACTTCCAGTCCTTCCACCTGGGGATAGCCCTGTTATCAAGTTCTGGCCAAAAAGATATAAGAAAAAGTCTGTTAGAACAGTGCTTCGCAAGCTTTACTGTGCATTCAAATCACCCAGGGATCTTGTGAAAATGCAGAATCTGGATCCGTAGTCAGGGTGGGGCTTGAACCAGTACATTTTAATAAGTTCCCAGGTGATGAACAATGTGGTCTGAGGACCACAATTTTAGCAGCGGGGTATCAGAGGGCAACTGGCAAGGACTTTCCTCCTTCGTTTGGACAGAGGTGTGCAAGGAAAAAGCTGCTTCCAGTCCCTTCCTCCAGCTTCCAGCTTTAGAATAGGACTGAAGAAGGATGTGCCTGTGGGCTGTGCCAACCATCATCTCTCCAGGAGGGGTGCAAGCCAACATGCTGAGAAGAGCAGGGTAGAAAAATACAAGTGTCCAGGTATTGGATGATGTCATTGTGCTACTGAAGTTAACTAATCTTGGGACCTCCTACCTGTGAGCTTTTAATTTTAATGGGGTAAGAGACACCATCTGGCTTAAGTGCCATCTGTCCTGTTTCCTACTGCATGCAACCCAACAGCTCGGTGACTCCATGAGGGTGCGATCCATTCAGCACGGGCCGTGTAATCAGCCAGCCTCCAGGCAGAGGCCAGGCCCGTAGCCCATCGCCAACGGAGAGTCGCCGGATCTGGGGGTGGTAATTCCATGGCTGAGAGTCTTCTAGGGGCAGAGGACACTGAGTCATGTGTTGCCGGAAGAGGAACTTATTCTTAGGACTGTAGCAATTAGGGTTTTAGTCCCTGGCACGGAAGGGGAACAGGAGAATCGAGGGAGGAAAGGCGCCCAAGTGCGTCTTCTAGTCTCCTATTCTTCTAGTGCAGCCTTTCTGAGGAATGAGGGAGCAAGCTGCTTCCCGCGACTGGGTCACAAAGCAAGTGACTGTTGAAACCCGCTGGCATCCAAAGGCATCGTCTGAGGTTCGATACTGGGGGTTAGAGTTAGTAAACTAATGTGTGGTATTTGGGGAAAATCTCTCACTTGCTTCACCCTGTAGTGAATAAATGCTGGATGCTGCAACTTTGTCAACATGTGTTTTTCATTTTTTTGCTTTACCTTAAGTATCTTTTATCCCAAAAGAACTCTGATCTTCCCAGTTTTGCCTAAATCTTTGGTAGCTTTTTTTTTTTCTTTTTTCTTTTTTTTGGAATATATCTTTATTGATTTCAGAGTGAGGAAGGGAGAGGGGGAGAGAGAGAGAGAGAGAGATGAAACATCAATGATGAGAGTTGTCATTGATCGGGACCGAGCCTATGACCCGGCCATGTGCCCTGACTGGGAATCAAACCGCGATCTCCTAGATCCTAGGTCGATGCTCAACCATTGAGCCACACCCAGCTGGGTGGTAGCTTTCTTTTTATGGTCTCAATTTTCTCATTGTATCAGTTAGGTTACAATCTTATCTGCTGTAATAATAATAATAACAATAACAATAATAATAATAATAATAATAAAACAGTAGGTTAAATTAGATAGAAACTTACTTATGTCTCATTTAATATTCTGAGTGAAAACAGTCCAAGACAGAGAGGTGGTTTCATGGTATCAGGGACTCAAGCTTGTATCTTTGTTGCTCTACTGTCATAGAGCTTCTGACTCCAGGTCTAAGGCAGCTAATCAAGTTCCCACCATTATATCTCTGATCAAACCATCTAGAAAGGGAAAATAAGAAATGGAAGGGATGTCTCTCCCATTCAGAACCATGTAGGCCTTTAAGGGCCATGTGCCCAGATAAAACTCATATTTTATTACTAAATAAAGAAGTAAAGAATGCATTTGGGGGACACATGGTCTCTGGCACACTCATTCATCAGATGGCTTAGGGCAGTTGTAGATGTCCTTGAACAACAGTGATTTAAAAAAAAGTAGCCCCAAATATTGCCCTTTAGAAAGAAATGCAGGTGTTTAGTTTCCAGTGTGATATAATTCTCTCCCCTTTTAATGAATGTACCTTTGTAAAGAAATTCTACAGTGGCTCACATTGAAATTACCTTCTTTTCCTCTATTTCACTCAATTCATCTCTCTTTAGTTCAGTACTTTCTTGTACTGATCCACAACATTATTGCCAATACAATCAAAGAAACTCTGCAAGCTCCCAAAGTATTTGTAGATGAACACCCAGCTTGGGCCTAATCAACAATCACCTAATACACTGACAAGTCTGAAGAATAGATAGGCTGGGTCCATCATTACCATTGCCATAATAATCTGGAGCAAAAGAGATAACAAATGGCACATAGCCTAATAGCCCAAGAGTATAAAGGGCCCGAGGCAAATCTTAGCAGTGAAATCTTCTGAAGGGAGGAAGGAATCTTTTAGATACATTGGATTATTTGGACAAAGAATAAAGATGATTCTGAGAACACCTCCATTTCTGTATGACCCTCTAGTCTAGCCACCATGATATCATATTTTTACTCAGAGACAAACAGGACTGTAATAAAAAAAATTTAAAAAAAAAGAATAAAAACTAATGTAAAGAGATTTTTGAGAGTCCATGGTATTGGTATGTTGATGCTAGAAGCTTCCATGATAATGAGAGGGGGCATTTTTATTAATTGCAACAATCAGAGCTTT